GTCCCGCATCCACATGGGGTATTTCTGGTGGGAAGGCATATACTGCTCCCTCTGCACGGTGCAGGAGCATCAACTGCGGCTGTTGCCCCCAGCTCTGCACCCCCCTGAGCAGTGCTACCCTTAGGTGCTCCTTCCCCATGCCTCCCAGGAGGCCTCTGCTTAGCAGAGTATTAGTTGAAAGAGCTCCTGAGAAGTGTAGTTCTGAGCTTTCCAGGATCTGGGTTAAGGAAAGATTCACTAAACAGAAAAAATAAAGTCTTCAGTTGACCTTGAATCCCATTCTAATTGCCCCTCCTCCTTCCTTGGTCATGGCCAACTTCCTTAAAAAAAAAAAAAAAAAGCAGAAACAAAGCAAGTCATTTCTTTCTGTCTCCCCTTGCATTCATTCTGCGGCCCACTACAGTTTTGCTTCGGTGATGACATTCTTCTCTGATGTCCATGAAATGATACTGATCTTGATCGTTTCCACCAGACACTTGCCCATCTTTATCTTCTAGGATTTCTCGCATGCACTGGCCACTGCTGGGTACTCATTCCTCATTACTACTGCGCACCCCTTCTCTTTCTCTCCTGATAAAAGTCTGACCTTTTTGTTTCTTCTTGGACTTTTTTCTTGCCCTCTGCACTTGTCCCATGGGCTCTGATGCCAGCACACACTCTTCTAAGTGGTCCCACCCAGCCTTATGGTCTCGACAACCACCTATAATAATGAGAGCTAAAATTTAGTGGGCCTCTATCATTGCTTTCTAAATGCCTTACATGTACTTATTAATTGAATCCTCCTAACAACTGTTCATTTCCTTGTTCTGCTGTACCAGATGACCACAATTTGAGTAGCTTAAAACAGCACAAAGTTATTGTCTTACAGTTGTGGAGATTAGATGCCTAAAATCAAGGTGTTGACTGGACAGCATTCCTTCGGGAGGCTCTAGGGAAGAATCCGTTTCCCTGCCTCTTCCAGTTTCTGGAGGCTATCTTCATTCCTTGGCTCTGGACCCCTTCTCCATCTTCAAAACCAGTGTGTAGCATCTTCAGCTGCCATACTTGTCACCTTTGTTACGTGATCACATCCCCTTTTCTCTTGCAACCCCACTTATAAGGACCCTTGTGATTACATCGGGCCCACCAAGCTAATCCGGGATTATGTCCCCATCTGAAGACCCTTAACTTGATTACATCGGCAGAGTCCCTTTTGGTGTTCAAGCTGATATTAACAGATTTCAGGGATGAAGATGTAGACATTTTGAGGGGCCATTATTCTACCCACCACAGCAGTCTTATGAGATAGAGTACAATTATAATCTCAGATCAGGCAACAAATTCAGAGAAGTTAAGTAATTTTCTCAGGGCCAAAAAGCCAAAAAATGGCAGGGCTGGAATTTGAATGTAGCTAGGCTCCAGGGTTCCTATTCTTAAGCTCTGTGCTCACCAAGAAACTAATAATGCCCTATTTAAATTTCTAACCCCCCTCAAAGATTCTCATTCCTAACTCCCTGTTCGACGGTTCCCCTAAGAAGGTAAAGCATCATATCCAAAACTGGGCCCATGATCTTTCCCCAGTACTTGTATTTCCTATCCTCAGTCTTAGTTTCAGGGACCAACATCCATCCTCTACCCCAATGTAGAAACCCGGATATCATCCTGGAGTCCTCCCTCCTCTCTCTAGATGTGGTCCATACCACCCCTGCACTTTTCTCTTTTTCATTCCTACAAGACTGCCCAAGTGCTGCCTTTGATCCTTTTTACTTGGCCATTCTAGTAGCTTCCTAATTGGTTCCTGGTCTCTAACCCGCATGAGATGAAAATCTAAGCCTGTTCTAGCCCTATATAAAACTCCTCAGTAGCTCCCCATTTACTCTGAAGGTTAAGCCCAATGACTTTAGGGAAACTTGCCCTTGACTCTCTTCTGCAGACTCCCATACTGACACACTGGGGCTTCGGTAACATGGAATTGCTTATTTCCGTTTACACCGCGCAGCTCCACACTGCCATGCCTTCTTTGTTCCTGCTCGTCTTGCTGTCAGAGCCACATTTCCTGCCACCTTTGTGTGCCTGTCTCTTCCAGCTGAGTCATCATTAGGGAGTCTTTTTTGCACCCTGGCTGGCATCATGGCCCTCTCCCTATGTTCTGACATCACGCCGTGTATCTAGGAACTGTCTCTCTTATACTAAAATGATCCATTTATGTCTGCTCCCTCATTCCACCAGCTCTGAAAGGTCAGGAATTCTTTTTTTTTTTTTTTTTTTTTTTTTAGTTTGCATCCAAGTTAGTTAGCATCCGGTGCAATAATGACTTCAGGAGTAGAATCCAGCAAATCATCCCCTATGTATATCACCCAGTGCTCATCCCAGTAGTGTCCTCCTTAATGCCCCTGACCCATTTAGCCCATCCCCCACCCCAGACCCTTCCAGCAACCCTCAGTTTGTTCTCTGTATTTTAGAGTCTCTTATATTTTGTCCCCTCCCTGTTTTTACGTTATTTTTGCTTCCTTTCCCTTATGTTCATATGTTTTGTATCTTAAATTCCACCTATGAGTGAAGTCATATGATACTTGTCTTTCTCTGACTAATTTTGCTTAGCATAATACACTCTAGTTCCATTCATGTTGTTGCAAATGGCAAGATTTCATTCTTTTTGATCAGTAATATTCTCTTGTGTATATATATGAAGGTCAGGAATTCTTAGTCACTGTTGCAGCCCTGGTGCCTAGCACAAGCCAAGAAGCAAAGAATATTTGGAGGTGCTTGTGAACAAGCAGGAATTTGCTAATTCAGGAAATTGGGAGGAAGTTGGGTGTTCCAGGTAGAGGAAAAAGCACACTCAAAGGCACAGAGGAGGCATGAAAGAGCAAAATAGATTTTGGAAAACGTCAGTGATTTAGTGAGGCCAGAAGAAAGTATGTTAGGGAAGGGCCTGCTAACAGGTTGAAAAATGAACAGAGTTGGGATTTGGGAGGGCCTGATGTGCTAAGCAAAAGAGCTTGAGCTTATTTAAAAGCTTTGGAGAAGCCACCTTGAATTTCAAACAGGGGACATACATAATCACATGTGTGTTTTTAATCAGATTTGTCTAACACCTGGGTAAGTGGTGGGTTAGAGAGGCCTGGAGTAGAAGCAGACAGACCACAAGGAAGTCATTGCAATGCATGAGGAGGACTCAGAGGCAGTGGCCAGGGCATGAAGAAGTGACAGACTCTTGGGCTTCTTAAGACTTGATATTCATAGGATGTGGACACTGATCTGCTATGGATCCAGGAAAATGAGGCATGGAATGCCCTTCTGGGCCCCTCCCAACCCATCCTCATGCATCTTGCCTCATGCCCTCTGCCCTGACTTTCCCTTTGTGGGTGATAAATAATCAGCAATGGATTGTGTCATATCTATTTCCCATAACAAGGAAAATAAAGTCCATATGTTAGTGCTGGAAGAGACCTTGGAGATCATTAGAGCCAACTGCCACATGAGATAGATGACTAAGCCCAGACAGAGAAGGGAATGACTTCCCTATGGTGGCTCAGGAAATCATTGGTGGGCACCCAGCCACTCTTTACTGAACCTGCTATTTAATTCTCCACATGGCATTGATCTCTATATTTTCGTGTGTATCTGCTTATTTTCTGCCTCTCTCCTCTGACATTAGAATGTAATATTTAAGAGCTGAGCCCATGTCTAACATAGTGTTTTGCCCACATCATAGACACTGAATGAGCATTTGTTTAAGAAAGAGTGAAACAGGTTTAATAAGGTTTGCTTCCTCCTGAACCAATGATCTTTACACAGGGCTCTGGTCTGGAGGTTATCAATTCATAATTTTATTTCCTGCTATGGTTTATCCTAACTATTCCTACAGAAACTAAAATCTATCAACCAGTACGCTGTAGTTCATGTGGTTTCAGATAGTAAAAAGTCAAAAATGGTTATCACGACATTCCTTTAAAAATACTAACCACTGACTACCTCGTACCTATTGTCATAGCTACTATAAAAATAATATGCATTACTAGAATGTGGATAAATTGGAATCCTACATAGTGTTAGGAGGAATATAAAATGGTATACAAAAACAGCATGGTGGTTGCTCAAAAAATTAAAAATAGAGGGCGACTGGGTGGCTCAGTCGGTTAAATGTCTGACTTTGGCTCAGGTCATAATTTCACAGTTCATGAGTTCAAGCCCCACATCAGGCTCTGCACTGATAGCACAGAGCCTTCTTGGGATTCTCTCTCTCTCTTCTCTCTCTCTCTTCTCTCTCTCTCTTCTCTCTCTCTCTTCTCTCTCTCTCTTCTCTCTCTCTCTTCTCTCTCTCTCTTCTCTCTCTCTCTTCTCTCTCTCTCTTCTCTCTCTCTTCTCTCTCTCTCTTCTCTCTCTCTCTTCTCTCTCTCTCTTCTCTCTCTCTCTTCTCTCTCTCTCTTCTCTCTCTCTCTTCTCTCTCTCTCTTCTCTCTCTCTCTCCTCTCTCTCTCCTCTCTCTCTCCTCTCTCTCTCCTCTCTCTCTTCTCTCTCTCTCTCTCTCTCTCAAAATAAAGAAGTAAACTTAAAAATTATTTAATATTTAAAAAAAGAAAATAGAATTACTCTGTGATTCAGCAATACCACTTCTGGGCAAACCCCCAAAAGAAAAGGAAGCACAGTTTCAAAGAGATACTTTCATATCCATCTTCATAGGAGAGTTATTTAAAATATCTAAAAGGTGGAGGGAACCCAAGTGTCCACCAACAGATGAATGGATAAACAATATGTGGTACATAAATACAATGGAATATCAGTCAGCCTTAAAAAGGAGAAAATTTTATCACCTGCTATAACATAAATGAACCTTGAGGACAGTATGCTAAGTGAAATTAGCCAGTCACAAAAAGACAAATATTAGGGTTCTACTTATGTGAGGTACATGGAGTAGTCAAAACCCTAAAGGCAAAGCAGCATGGTGGCTGCCAGAGGTCTGGGGTAGGGAGACTGGAAATTTATTGTGTCATGGCTATGGAGTTCCACTCTCACAAGATGAAAGGGGTTCTGGGCATTCACAACAATGCGGTTGCCCTTAGCACCACTGAATTCTACACTTGAAAATGTTTAAGATGGTAAATTTTAAGTTATGTGTATTTTACCATAATTTAAAAAGTATTAACCACTGAGAGGTGCCTGGGTGGCTCATTCAGTTGAGCGTCCAACTTCGGCTCAGGTCATAATCAGTTCATAGGTTTGAGCCCTGCACTGAGCTCTGTACTGACAGCTCGGAGCCTGGAGCCTGCTTCAGATTCTGTCTCTCTCTCTCTCTCTGCCCCTCCCCTGCACTCTTTCTCGCTCGCTCTCTCACTCTCTTTCTCTCTCAAATAAACTTAAAAAAATTTTTTTAAACATTAACCACAGGTATGTGCAGCTATCTCCTTTGATCCTTACAGTAACCTTGAACTGTTAGTAGAACTGTCCCATTTTATAGTGAGGAAAATAGGGCTCAAGGAAGTGGAGTGAATTGCCCAAGGCACATAAGTAGAAAATGATGAAGCGGAGCCTCATACTTAGATTTCCTGGTTCCATGCCCAGTGCTGGCTTCTCCTACATCAGGGAGAGGAAGTGTAGTTCAATTAATTTGACTGCTGGTTGAAATATAGATAAGAAATCAACAGCAGTTTGTAGAGAAAGATAAAAGTGTGTGTGTGTGAGAGAGAGAGAGAGAGAGAGAGGGAGAGAGGCGGGGGGGGGGGTGTTGTGAGAGAATAGGAAGGAGGGAGGAGGGAAGGCTCAGGGGAGAGCATGCAAGCAAGTTCCCAGACACCTGCTTCATGCTTCTTCTTCAATTTCCTTCCCTCCCAGAATCTCCGGAAAGCAGGTGTGAGTCAACTGTAAACACAGAGAAAAAGGTCAGCCAGCATTCCCTCAGATGGCAAAATCAGAAGTGACTGATGTCAAGGCTGTCTGTGTCCATGAGACTCAGCCCTTTAAGATGATCAGGAGAAGACAGTGACTTTTTTTGAAATGGCTCCATTAGCTGTCCTCTGAACCTCTACCTCCACCCCTTCCTACCTCCTGGGAAGACACAGGATGACAAAGTGCACTTACAAAACTAAATTAGATCCAGCGAGAGAAAGGGGGAGCGGTGGGAACAGCACTGAGCAGGAGTCAAAGCCCCATCCTACCTGCCTAGACCAACTCCCTGTGTAATGCTGGTCACAGCCTTCCTCGGGCCCAAGGGGTCAGGCTGCTATTAATACCACCATTTTCATATGCTGAGTTCAAACTGAATTGAGAAGGTAGAGCACACGCTCCCAGGGGGAGCAAAAAATACAAAAGGATCAGCTACCCTTTTCAAATAGCCCTTATTTATCACGGACTTACTAGAATTGTGATGGACAATTTACATACAGCAGCCCTCACCCTTCTAGCACTTGACAACTTGTTTTTATGATGAGATTATACTGACAGGTACTATCACACTTCCCAGAGTATTTGCCTCGATGACAAAGAACAGAGTCAGAATGTGAACGTGACCTGTGTAGTTCCAAAGTTAAGTTCAACAGCCAAGCTCTCCAGAGCTCTGGAAGCACTAGGAGACAGGGAAGAAGTTAGCTCTCCCTGTCAGCCCCGGGAAAAAACCTTGATGGAGAAAGGTAGGCATCGAAGTTGCAAGAAAACAACAAAAAACCCCACAAATAGAGGGTGCCATTTTGTGAAGCAGAACCACACAAGCCGACTTGGGGTAATGGGTGTTACAGTTTCTAGAAAACTATAAATAACCCTGTTTGGATTAAGGTTAGTTGTGTTGGGTTGTGGCTGGAGATCATAGTTATGTTATGAAGAACTTTGCATGCTGTCTAAAGGGGTTAGAATTGACTCGTATAGGCAGTAAGGACCCCCCCCAAAATTTGTATCAAGGGATTTATCAGCAACTGTCCGTATTCTCCTTTATGAGTATTCTTTACATGTTGTAAAGACATGAAACATATCTGAAGCGTTTGAAAGAGGAGACGTGGGTTTCCATCGCATCTTACGTACACAATCGCATTACCAGCCGATACTGCCCACTAGGTAAGTGATGGTGTTGCATCGGCACTTAGAACGCTTTGTCTGCGTGGTGAAATGGGCTAATCATGCTGTTTTGTTTCCTAGAATGATGAAACACTGTCTTCTTTTGTGCTTTAGGAAGGGTTAAAAAACTTCAAGGAACTTCGAGCCAAATTTCAAAAGTTTGATGTGCCATCTCTTCCAAAACCTACGCAAGTCCCAGCAAGAATTTCTCAGAAGAGCGGTATTGGAAATGCACAGTCAACAAGTGTTTTGGCCAGTGTGAAACCCCTCTCATCCAACCACCGTCAGCTCCCGCAGCACTGTTCTAGCGGTGAACCCCAGCCTCTTCAACCCCAGGAAATGAAGTCCGCCCAGAAGAGCAAGATTCAGAAATGCTCGAATTCCTCAGAACCTCGGGAAAGGTCTACGGGTTCTGCAGTAAAGTCCCAGGAGACTTCTCTGCTGTTAGACGTGAATCAGTCAAATGCTGACATAACCGATGAGAGGAGCGTGATGGTGACCGACAGCTTCAGAGACAAGCTCTCGAATTGGGAGAAGGTTTCATCTCAGAAGAGTGAGATGTCTTCAGCCTTTGTCCGTGCCAGTTGTGGAAGCAGGGCCTTTCATCTGGAGGAGGAGAGAAGCATAGGGCGGGCTCCAGAGGAGCCCAGGAGGAAGCTAGAAACCAAAGGAGCCCAGACCCACCCTTCCCAGAAGCACTTGATGCCCCCCCCAAATTCACTTGCTTCCTTTCAAGATCCTACTTCTCTACCTTTTCAGCGTGACAGGAAGATCCTAGAAACCCCTGATCCTGAGAGCAGCCCTGTGGGGAGCCCCTGCCAGCCCGTCTATGAGAGTGAACTTGCCAGCCAGGGCCCTGGTGAGAATGAAATGCCTGAGGGAGGGACTCATTCAGAGCCTGGTGGTGGTCCTGGGTGACCTGGGTGAAGTTTGCTCCAAACTCTAGAGCAGGTATTCTAGGCCCATCTGCTAAATTGTGTTTCAGGTTTGGGTAAAGTGACTAATCTCCTGGAATTCTATTGAGAGATAGTCTGGGCAAGCTTGGATTTGACTCCTAGCTCTGCTTCTTACAAGATGCATGAATTTGGACCATCTGTTTAACTTCTTAGAGCGTGATCTGCTCTCCTGTAAATCAGATCCATCACCAGCCTGCCCCAACTGGGTACACAGCACAACCGTCTTCCTAGTTGCTCAGGCCAAAAACGTACACGCTGTGCTCAATCCCTCTCTCTCTCCTTTTCTGCATCCACTCCATCAACAAGCTCTTGGTTCTACCATCAGAAGATGTTCCGAATCCTTCACTTCAATCCACTTCTGCTGCCTTTCCTTACCCACACCGCCATCATCTCTTATCTAGAGCACCATAGTGGTCCAGCTGGGCTCCCTGCTTCCATATTCTAGTCTCCTTTTATCCTATTCTCTTCCTAGCAGGCACAGTGAACTTCTAACACATAAATTAAGTCACATCACTCCCCTGCTCAAATTCAACTCCAGCAGTCTTCTAGGAGCTGATGTGATTTGGCCCTTCCTACCTCTCTTACCCTCTTCTTTTACCACCTTGGCCTTCTTGCTTTTCTTTGGGTATACCAAGCTAGTTCCACCCCAGGGCCTTTGCACTTGCTGATCATGCTGCCTCGAACATGTTTCCCCCAGGTCTTTGATGTCTCACTCCTTCGCTTCATCATGGTCTCTGCTCAGTGTCATTTGTTGAGAGTGGAATTTGTGAATCGTCGTCTGAAATAACTGCCCACCCCCATAATTCTCTGCCTTCTTACATTGCTTTGGTTTTCTTCATATACCATATACATGGTATGTTGTTATGTACCTCATATGTTATGTACCTCTTTATGTTACCTCAGTAAAATGTAAGTTCTGTCAAGGTAAAAACTGTCGTCTTTACCACCATATCTCTAGCACCTAAAAGAGCAAGGCTAGGTTTGGTAGGTCCTCCAAAAGTACTTATTGGATGCTTGGATGGGTGGATGGGTGGATGGATGGGTGGGTGGGTGAATGGGTGGGTGGGTGGGTGGGAGGAGGATCTCCTGCTTACAATTCTGTATGGTTTCTTTCTGTACTACTGAGTTCATGGCTCTGCATCTTCCAGGCCCTGCTGAACTATCTGACTTGCTCCTGTTTCTCTTCCCCTGGCTCGCAGTAGATACACTGGATTTCTTGCTATTCCTTGAAGAGACTTTGTTATGCTCAGGACAATGACATTTACTCTTCCTAGAAAACTCTTGTGTGGGCTTTCCATCACTGCATTTAGGTCTGAGTTCACATGACACTTGCGCAGATAATCCTCTTTACCTGGAGAAGTTAGCTCAGTTCCGTTCCCACTCTTTCCTGTCAGCCTCTTTAATCTCTTTCATAGAAGCCACAGGTCTCTGTGATTACCTTGTTTATGTGTTTGCGTGTTTATCATCAGTCTCCTCCTGTTAGAGTCTGGCCCTCAGGAATTTTCATTCTATCTGCTCTTGTTCTTAACTCTATACCCAGCTTGTAGAACTTTTAGAACAGTGCCTGGAATATAGTAGATGATTAGTTATTGGTGAAGGGATGGGGAAGGGGGATGGGTCATCTACCTGACTGAGTGTTGAGGGGATTAAATGAGAGAACCCCTGATCTTCACTTAGCACAGCACCTGGAAAAAACTAGGAACCCAGTTAGTAAGTGATCATTCATTCTCACTACATCTTTTCCTTAATTTGATAAAGACTGAAACTTCTTTTTTTTTTTTTTTAAAGAAAAAATTTTAATGTTTATTCATTTTTGAGAGAGAGAGTAGGGGAGGGGCAGAGAGAGACACACACACAGAATCCCAAGCAGGCTCCAGGATCTGAGCTGTCAGCACAGAGCCTGATACGAGGCTCGAACCCAGAAACCACGAGATCATTACCTGAGCCAAAGTCAGACGTTTAATCAACTAAGCCACCCAGGCGCCCCTTATAATGACTGAAATTTCTGATGTTGCAACTTATCATTACAATTTGATTATAATTAAATTCTAATTTGTAGGTGCCTGCAAAAGGGCATCTGGTGGCTCAGTCATTTGAGTATCCAGTGTCACCTCAGGTCATGATCTCGCGGTTCATGAGTTTAAGCCCCATGTCAGGCTCACTACTGCAGCCTGTCAGTGCACAGCCTGCTTTGGAGCCTCTGTCTCTCCTCTCTCTACCCCTCCCCTACTTGTACTCTCCCAAAATAAATATCTTTTAAAAAGCCTAGCAAGAGAGGAACTTGGGCCTGACTGATAGAAGCCCTCCTTGTGCGGCTAGAAGGGAGCTCCCCCTCCCACGCCTCCCAGCTTCCAGAGTGGACCTCAGGGCAGTTGCACTTTGTAAACACTGGCTGCCATCTTTAGTTTTAGCGTGGGTAGTCCATGTACCCAACCACTGTATTATGTGAACCAAAAATCAAGGCACTTGGATCCTAGATGATTTTGTGCTGTGAGGTATAAGAGGCAGATAGGATTTTCATATATAATATTGGAATTTCTGTTGGAGTTTGGTTTCTGCATACAGAAGGACAAAATGTATGCAATTGACACTGTCCTGGAAAATTCCAGGACACAAACCCACAAAATCCACAGGTTCCCAGGTACCATAAAGTTAGTCTTGAAGCTTGTCCCAGAGTGCGAGCCCTGGAAATCAGATCATTTCTTACTCCTCCTTGTAGCCACCGTATTGCTTGCATGTCATCGGTGCTAGAGGCATCCTTTCAGGGAAGAGTCACCATTCATTTCCTTGGAAGTAGGCACTCTGCTTGGTGCTGGCAGGAGATCATTATGGCCTGGTCCCTGTGGCTGGCTCTCACGAGGAGCTGACACTCAATGGGAAGATAAACCAGCCTCTCTAATATGCCACCACACTGATGGAGAGGTGTTAATGATAAGTGATGAAGATAGAGAACAGAATGGTTAATGCTCACCTCGATTTTGAAATCAATGAAAACTTCCCAGAGGAAGTGTCATGGGAGCAGGGCCTTAAACGAGGCAGAGCTTGCCAAGAAGGAAGTGCGGGAACAGCATTCCAGAACCAGGAATGGCATGAACAAAGTCCTGGATATATGGTGACTTTTTAAATCCGATTCGGAGAATTGAGAAGCCATTGGTGTGAGTAAAAGCTATTTGGGCTGACCCAGGAGAGGATGCTAAAATGTAGTTAAGAGAAGAAACTGGAAATAGAGATTGGGGCCTTGTAGGTACATGCCAGAGGATGGAGTCCATAAATGGGTGTCATGCTGATGAAGCCAGGCTTCATTCATCCTCTGGGCAGCAGGCTGGTGACCTCATCAGGGTTGCCTTTCTTGATCAGGGCACCCTGGCCAGTAGGACAGACTAGACTAGAGGGGAGAGACTGGCCAGGACTGGCCAGTTTCACCTAAGAAGCCATGAAATGGAAAAAAAAATTTTTTTTTTTTTTTTTTACTCTCTCTGCTCAGGGAAACAGCCAGATGTCAGGCATCACCAGCCTCTTAAAACGAAGTCTCTGCCTTCCATCAAGTCCCTGGGTCCTCCTCCCCCAAAGCCTCCGAAGCCCCCAGTCGTGAACCTCCAGGCCTTCCAGAAGCAGGCAGCTACAGTTGCCAGGACCCACACAGAAGGTGAGAAAAGGCACAGGCGCCGGGAGTCATGGCTCCGATGCCCGGGTCCCCCCCACCCCTGGGGCCTCCCTCTCAGTGTCAGCTCCCAGGTGATAAGGCTGCAACTGCTTTTCCATGGGGCTGGACATCTATCACTGCTTATTTTCACATGGAGGCCGTGGCAGCTTGCCAGTGAAATGACAAATCTGCAGGAATTGGCCCCTTATCACTCCTGGACCAGCCCGCTTCCCCGGAGAGGGTTGCATTTGATCACTGGGAATCTGTCCAAGAGGAAGAAAACGAAAAGTAGTGAAGCAGGGAGCACGGAGCTTTTGTGTTTCCTACAAAGCCTGTGTTGTCAACGCAATCAGTGCAGTAGGGGAGAGCAGGGAGTGAAAAGGGAAGAAAATCAGTGTGAACTTGACCGGCGATCCTAATGAGGGTCCCTCAGGCCTCTGTGATCAGCCTTCTGTAATTAGTCACAGGGCCCACAACCCTGCCTCCGCCAGCCCTTTCCAGGAACTGAAGAGTCCTTGGAAGCCATTTTTCTGTGTATTTAAAGGAACACCTTCTTGTCCCCTCTCCACCCACACAGTAGCCTGATCCTGTTGACACTTTAAATGCCTTTGTTTATGTTTGTTCTAATGAAACATGAGATGAACGCCCTCTTGAGGGTGACACCCAGTGCTGTGCTAACTTCTGTTTTCCTGTGGCCACGAGCGCCAGCGGACCATCTGCTCCGGGAGCTGATGCATTGTTCCTTTGACCACTCCGAACAACCTCAGGGTTAAATTTCTTGAACTCCTTGGTTCCAGACTTCAGCCTGTACCAGAATCAGTTAGGGGACTTGTCAAAACACCCATAACAGGGCCCCATTCCCAGAGTTTCTGATGTATTTGGTGTGGATTGGGTGCCTGAGCATTGGGCTTTTTAACAAGTTCCCTAGGAGATGCTGATGCTTCTGGTCCAGGGACCACATTTCGAGTACCACCACTGCAGTTCCTCTCAAGTCTGATCCTAAAAGGAAACTCTATATAAAGAAGTAGAGCTCTGGCTGCCATCTTGCATCCCCTGGTGCATGTACCTGATCTCAGCGGGTTCCCCCCGAGACCCCCTGAGCACAGACCCTAGTCCCCCACGGTCCCATTGCTGCTCCACCAAGATGAAAGAAACCATCATGAACCAGGAGAAACTCACACCTGCAAGCACAGGTGCCCACTGGTGGGAAAGGAACTGTCCCCTCAAAAGATGGTTCATTGAACAGCTACAGCGGATGATAAAAAAAAAATCTCAGTTCTCTTTAAACTCACGGGTAAACAGTAGCTCTGGTGAATTCAAGAAGTGACTATGTTCACAAACCCAGGAATGGGTCTTGCACTTTTGCAACCCCAAAGTTCAGGCATCTGGCGCAGTGAACACTTTGACCATCACAGGCCATGCTGAGATGAAGCAGCTGACAGAAATGGCACCCAGTGTCTTTTTTTTTTTTTATATATAGTTTATTTTTGAGACAGAAACAGAATGTGAGTGGGGGAGGGGCAGAGAGAGAGGGAGACACAGAATCCGAAACAGGCTCCAGGCTCTGAGCTGCCAGCACAGAACCTGCTGTGGGGCTTGAGCCCACAAACCGCAAGATCATGACCTGAGCCAAAGTCGGACGCTTAACCAACTGAGCCACCCCAGCGCCCCAAGGGCACCCAGTGTCTTAAACCAGCTTGGTGCAGACAGTCTGACTAGTTGGAGAAGACTGGCCGCAGCTCCTGCCCACGCGCTGTGTGGCTGCAGAAGCACCACCTGCTACCGGAGAGGAGGAGGGGGAAGAATTGCAGATCATGGAGAGCATTGTGATGACGCTTCCAAGAATGAAGCAAAATGAACGAGTTATTTCTGGAGGAGATAGAACTTGAAGTTACCAGGAGCTGCTCTTTTTTATATTACGACTGCTTTTTAAAATTTTATTCATGGGGCCGCCTGGGCGGCTCATTTAGTTAGGTGGCCGACTTCTGCTCAGGTCACCATCTCAAGGTTCGTGAGTTGGGGCCCTGCGTCGGGCTCTGTGCTGACAGCTGAGCCTGGAGCCTGCTTCAGATTCTGTGTGTGTCTCTCTCTTTCTGCTCTTCCCTCATGCTCCCTCTCTGTCTCTCAAAAAAATGAATAAACGTTAAAATAGTGTTCATAGATCTGATAAAATCTAGGTCTCTAATATGTTTAAGCCCCAGCCCCTTGGCCACTGCAACTCTCTTCAGTGTTTGCTTACACACAATTCATTCTTGGCAACTGATGAAGCTAAAGAAGCCTGGGAATAAAGTTTGAAACAAGGTTAATAAAGTTCTTTGCCTAGTGAATACAAATAGAAGAAAGTTTTTGTAAGCATACTTTAATAATAATTTGGCCACCTTCGTAACAGAGAAAGCTAAGTATGATTTTTAAAAACATTAAATCATTCTGACCTCAAACACAGTCTTTGAAAGTGAAGAAGACTGTCTGAGAACATAGAACAAAGCACCAAGTCTTTTGTAATGAAGTGGGCTTTGTAAAGCCTTTCCCCGCCACCCCCCCCCCTTCACTGGCTAGCTATTTAGGTCTGGGCCTGTTACTCACTGAGCCTCGTCGTCCTTCTCTGTAAAATGGGGATGACAGTAACCCTCCTCTCACATGATTCTGTGAAAATAAATGAGACGAGTCATGGAAACAGTCGGAAAAATGTTTAAATGCAACGTTATCATTATTTCAACCTTGTGTTGAACAGCTACACCCTCTTTGACCTGGGCTTTGTGATAGTCGCAAGAGATAGAGAACCCCATGCTCAAGTTATGGTACTCCAGAAGGTCAAAGTCTAATACAGAAGATCAAGAGGGTACTCATAAAAAAAAAAATCACTGTAGGGACGCCTGGGTGGCTCAGTCACTTAAGCATCCAACTTCAGCTCAGGTCATGATCTCACAGTTCCTGAGTTCTAGCCCCACATCAGGCTCTGTGCTGAGAGCTCAGAGCCTAGAGCCTGCTTTGGATTCTGTGTCTCCCTCCATCTTTGCCCCTCGCCTGCTCATTCATTTGTTCTTTCTTCTTCTTTCTCTGTCTCTATCACTCTCTCTCAAATGTGTGCACGCGCGCACACACACACACACACACACACACACACACACACGCTCAAATTTAAAAAAACAATACCATGAAGTGTGGGTGAACAGCGGACTGCAGGACGGAGGGTCCCCTGGGTGCTGGGGGAGGGGTTGGAGGTGGGGGGGGAGTCCTGGGGCACCAGTGAGTTGCCACTCCTCATTTTGTCTCTGGGGTCAGGGCATTGTGCAAACAAAAGTTCACTTTAATCAAGCTGACACCGACGCCCCTTTTCACTCTGCCTCTTGCTCTTGCAGCAGCTGTGGAAGAGGGCCGCCTGCCTCCGGAGAGGTGAGTACCTGCTTCTTAATTGGGCAGGAGCACAGAGCCTCCAGCATTGACAAGGCTGCTTAACCTGCCTGAGAGCAGGCAATGAGGACGCCAGGTGTCCGTATTTCTCCAAAGGGTTGCAGGAGGAACAGATTTATGAGCAACAAACTGCAACTTTTGTTTTAGAGGAGAGATTAAATAAACTGCATTTAACTGCTGTGCTGACATTAAGTTGCCAAGATGGTCCTCTGAGGTACTTTTATTTATTATACAGTTGGGTTTAGTAAATTGAAACATCAGCTTCCATAGTCATAAATCGAATTAGAGGCTACAGAAGGCTGTGGGCAGCTGGCGTGATGTTAGGAATTGGTAATGGGGAAAAGGACCTTCTGTTTTTGCTGTGCTTATTCTGAGAATTTTGCCATGGAAGTGTCGGTTCATTAATTCACTCAACCAAATACTATCTTTTGAGATCTTGGATGGGTCCTGCATTGAGCTGGCTACTCTATACAGATTTTCTCACTTCCTTTCCTCATGGCTGCAAAATGGCTGCCGCTGTCCTCATTTTCTAGCTGAAGACACTTGGGCTCGGAAAGTTTGGTCTTTTACAGACCCATGATTCCAACTCAAGTATGCCCCGACTATTTTTTCTGTTGAATATAATGGAAATAGAAGATTGTGTAAGTCTGAGGTGTGCAAGGTGCTAGTATGATACATTTATAAATTGCAGGATGGTTACTACTGTTGCTTTAGCTAACCACCTTTTTCACCTCATATAACTATCATTTCTCTTTTGTGTTGAAAACACTGAAGACCTAATCTCTTAGAAACTTTAAAATTTATAATAAAACATTTTTTTACTGTAATCACTATTTGTACAGTATATCTCCAGAACTTACTTATCTACTAGTTATAAATGTGTACCCTTAAATAACATCTCTCCACTTCACTCACCCCTCAGCCCCTGGTAAGCACTATTTACTGTTTCTACAAGTATCGTTTTTTTAGATTTCCCATAGAAGTAATATCGTACGATAATTGTTTTTGCTCTGTCTGATGTATCTCACTTAGCATAATACCATCAAGGTCCATCCATGTTGTCACCGAGGGCAGGATTGTCTCCTTTCTTGTGGCCGAATAACATTCTATTGTGTATAGACAACACATCTTCTTTATCCATTCACCTGTTGTTGATGGATGCTTAGATTGTGTCCATATCTTGCCTACTGCAATATTAACAAGAGTGTAGCAGTATCTCTTCAAGATGCTAATGTCATTTCCTTCAGATACATACCCAGGAGTGGAAGTGTTGGATCCTATGACAGTTCAATTTCTAATTGAACCTCTCTACTCTTTTCCATAATGGCTGTACCGATAGGTATGCCCAAACTGTTTTTGATTGTATCAACCTCCCCTCCCTCACATATAGGCTCCTTTTCTCTAGAAGCTCAGCCTTGGAAGAAGTAAACATAAAAGCAAATTACCATATTACTTACCAAATGTTTATAAGACTAGAAATGTGTTACATTTCCTAACAAAGAAATGTACAAGATTTAGAGATTGCACAAACATGTGAGTGATCACTTGTCCTTGGGAGGTTCAGTGAAGCCTTTACAAAAACATTTCAGTTATCTATTGCTACAGTCCTACTGCGTAATCTACAACAAAGTATCAAGAGCATACAGAGTGGTGTGTGGGTTGAGCTGATCTGGGCTGGGCTCACCTGGCATTGCTAGAATGTTGCAGACTCCCTAGGCAGTTGTGCTGATAGTGACTGGGGTTGCTAGGCGTTTGGGTGTCAGCCTGCAGCTGGCCAATCTAGGATTCCCTCGGCTGGCTTGCCTGGGGCAACCTGACTTAACAGCATCTGCCTCCCCCTCCAGCAAGCTGGCTGAGGAACTACCTACGGCCACAGCAGACAAACAAGAAGATACCAGTTGCACAAACACTTGTCAGACTCTGCTGTACCACATTGCTCACATCCTATTGGTCGAAGCAAGTCACATGGCCCAGCCTCAGCGTGGGAGGACAGCAAAACTTTACCTGTAAAAAGGCAGGGATCCAAGAAGGCGTGAAGAATAGGGGTGTAGACCCAATCAGCCTATCACTGAAGAGGGAACATCTGAGAACTGAGGATAGACATTTGCTGGATAACGTGGGGAAGGGTGCTATAGGCAGAAGCAGGAGGTATGAGGAAACAGGCATTATCTGTGAAAACTAGAAATAGGTAAGTAGCATTGGTGTGGAAAGGGTAGTATGGAATGAAAAGAAATGGTACTGTGGAGGTAGACAGGAACCAAATCTTGGTAAAGTAAGAACATCTTGTTCACTAAGGAGTTGACCATCTGGTGTCGGGCAAGGTCTACCTGCTCCAGGAACTCCCAGTTTAGTTGCTCACTTTAAAAGAGTTAAATGACAGCACAGGGAAGGTCAGTGGAGCCACTTTCTACGTGCATTTTTGTGAAAGAGAGAAAAGACTTTAGACACCTAAGGTAATGAGTTGCATTGTTTACTCAATGACCTGGGTCCCGGAGTGACCGTGTGAGGGACCAGTGTAATTCTGCTGGGCACTGAGCCAATCTTGGTTCCCTCATGACTCCCATTCTGTGAGCATCTCCCTGTGATTATGCGTGTGCTGTGATTGAAGTATGTAACCAGATACGCGTTCTTCCTACAGTTTGGCTTTGAAATAAACTGACCTCTTCTCTGGCACTTTTCATCAAAGACAGTCGTCTGTTTCAACATGGAGGACAGAGTCACTTGATGGGTGTATATTGAGAGATGGTAGGGGGTCTTTAACGTTGTACCACCTTCCTAAGCGACTTGGAAGGGCAATTGGACTGTTGGGTCCTTTCCCACTGACTTTAGAACCCAACCATCATCAGAAATGAGGTTCGTCGGACTTTAATTATCGTAGGGGCCATGGTGGTGTAGGAGTACAAAGCAAAAGAGACAAACAGGAACCAGGATACTTAGGGGCAGCTTCACAGTGGACAAAAGCTCTTGAGATGCCTGCCGCGTGCTAGGTCAGATTAGAGAGGTATGTGCTCATTGCCTTTTGTGTGACTGTACAGTGGGTGAAGGCAGGGTACGGTTACCAGAAACCACCACATTCCTGACTTATCACTGGTTAGTGGATGGATGGATGGACCCAGAAACGCTAAGGCTAGAGACAGGATGTTACTGAAAACAAGGCAGTAGTACGAAAGTGAAGGATAAACAGATACAGAGTATTCTGATGGGGAAGAAAAGAGCTGAGATTAGATCCTAAAGTTAATTAGGTGCCGGGCGGAGAAGTTGGGACTTGAGCTGGTCAGTGATATGTTTATTTTTTATTTATATTTTTAATGTTTATTTTTGAGAGAGAGAGAGAGAAAGCAGGGGAGGGGCAGAGAGAGAGGGAGACACAGAATCTGAAGCAGGCTCCAGGCTCTGAGCCGTCAGCACATGACCTGAGCCAAAATCGGATCCTTAACCGACTGAGCCACCCAGGCAACCCAGTGATGCGTTAGTTTAAACAAGAAAATGCAATGATGCTGAGCAGTGTTAGATACAACTTCCATGGAAACTGACACTTGTTTGGAAAGAAGGTCTTCCATGTTCGTGGTACTGATCTTCATACAGATAATAGATTGGAAACAATATGTTAGGTCTTATTACTGGAAGGGGACATGGCAGTTATTGGGGAGTTTTAGTCCGAGGCCTACCACTTAACACCTGCATAACCTTGGACAAATGCCTTGACCTCTGCAGACCTTAGTTTCTACTCACGTAAAATTGGAGGCTGATGAGATCTAATGCATACAGGTTTGGCAAATGTTAAATGAAATAATGATTGTAAGATGTTGAGTGCGATGCCAAGCATCCAGAGAGTGTTCAGTAAAGCTTGCTTGGCTGTTGTTTAAACCCCTCCAAAGGCAAGAATCCATGCTCAGAATCTTAATCTCTTCAAAAATCCATTGATGGAGAGCTCCCTACCAGAAGAGTCCAATATTTTTCTTGTTGGAGCAGATTTTATTCATTCAAAATGTTTATTGATTACTATATGCCAAGCCCTCTTGTATACATACATTGAGAATATGGGGGTGTATAAAGTAGACAAAAGTTTCTTACTTGCACGTACATACACATACACATGTGACATATTTATCCCTTGCATTCAAAAGCCTGAGTTGAGCTGGTATCAAACAGTGACCTCCCTACCCCGGACATCCAGCCATCTGTCCAAGATCAACTCATTGATACAATAAACAGGTTCTTTACCCCTCCCTTACATGACTGAAGACATCTAAGGGCCACATTGTGTTAAATAAAACTTGGATCATTGTCTGCAGCTGTACATTTATGGATCTATGTTTTAATCCTCTTGTTAGAAACTGCATTTGCAGTAGCCACTTTTATTTTTGAACCTCTTCATACTGTGTGTTAAATATGAGAAGCAGCACTGTATAATGCAACAAGGTCAAGTCTGGAGTCAGATTGCCATAGAGTCCAGTGCTTCCTCCCACCTATGACAGCTCAGAGCTTTGCTATACACATCTGTAAAGTGGGCACAGTAGTGCTTCTTCATTGACTTCATGGAGATGAAATGAGAGAAGTTGTATGTGAAGGTGCTCAGTGAGTCTTGGTTTTCAACCCCTGGCCTCTCCATTCCTTGTTGTCTCTGGAATAAATATCTCGTTAGTTCCCAACAGTGAAATGACTCTTAGGAGGTTGTTTGTCATCACTCGTTCGGGTGAACCAAGCTGGCTGGCATCCCTCTTGACTAAGCAGCCCCTATTTGTGTGAGCAAAGCAGGTGAGTCCCAGGGCGCAATTACCGCTGGGTCTCTGTCAGTACTTAGCAGAGTTGGCTAATATTTTATTCATTAGCCATAAACATGGCTTTTCTCCCATTAAGAAGTGTCAGGGGGTAGTCCTGACTCAGGAAATCTCTGACTCAAATACTAAGGAAGAGAGAGCCTGCTTATATCAGGAGAGAAAATTCACACAGTATGGTGTTTCACAGATGAGGGTCTGTGGGTGGATCTCAGGGGTCTACCATTTTCTCTCCTGAACTTTTTAATTTTCTGGTTTCATTTTAATGATCGCCTTTAAAAGATGATATAAACCTATTTTGAGTATTCTGAATGATCTCCTTCAACCTAATATTTTGGAACATGCTTTTGTACCCGCATTCTAGTGTTTCTATCCCATGCACAGTGAGAAGCATAGATGTCTTATAGGGCTGAACGGATCATGTCTCTATGTCTAGGACATGTGTTGCACGACAGGGAGGGATAGGTTCTGTGGAAATGGGAATGAATGCCTTACCTAAGGCATTCAAAATTGTTGATAATAACAGAACACCACCACTATGGCCAAGCAAAATGCATCTGTGGTCTTTATTTAAATAGCAGTAAATGCCATACAGCAAATTTAAAAGAGCATCCAGATAGTAACTAGGATATAGGAGGTGTAGGATGATCAGGAAAGGCCAGCCGTGGTGACACTTGGGTCGAGACTTTCATGATGAGGGACCCAGTCACAGAAGGTCTCCGAGATGGATGTTCTCCAGGGAGAACTACATCTGCATGTAGAGAGAACCAGAAAAGAGGGGAGCACAGTGGGCTGGTGCAGTGGTGGTCTGGAGAGCCGTGGAGTGAATTTGGATTTTGCTCTAAATACACAGGGAAACCACAGGAG